TGGCCTCCGTGCGCAGAGCGATGCACACGGACACACGCCCCGTGCAAGGAGCCGACACCGCCTGGGGGCGAGGCGGGGAGAGGAACACCCCACAGTGACAAGGCAAACCCCAGCCATGGTCTCAAAAGCTGTGAGGGACGCGGGTACTGCACCTCGTTTTAAAGTGAAAGCGGCAGCGAGGGTGGGGAGGGGGTGCACAGACTGGAGCCCCCCACTTGGCTGGGGATGTCCATGGGGCGGCCACACTGACAGCAGTCTGCGGTCCCCCAAACCGTGACACGTGGAGTTGCCATGTGGCCCCACAATCCCCCTGCGGGTGCGTGACCGGGAGAAAGGACACCATGTCCTCAGCAGCGTCATTCCCAGCAACCGCAGAGCCCTAGAGCCGGCTCCTTCCACGCATGAGCGGGTAGAGGGAACGTGCCTGTGCATACAACGAGGCGCTAGCTGGTCCTAAAGGGGCTGAGGCACTGACACGCTCCGACATGGATGGGTACATGCTATGACGCGGACGGGCGAAGACACGCTCTGTGAGAGGAGCCGGCCCGGCCCCACCGTGCAAGCGTCACTCACGTGAGCTGCGGGCAGAAAGGAGACGGTGGCTGCCGGGGCAGACGGGCCGGAGTGACGGCTCCTGGGTTTGCACTTCCTTTCAGGACGATGGAGATACTCTGTGGCTAACAGGTGGTGATGGCTGCGCTACTGTGAACCCACCGAGTTCTTCACTCCCCGGTGAGCTGCCCGCACGTGAGCCCATCTCCCGAAAGCTGCCCTAGGAAGTTCCCCCAGCTGCAGGCTCTGGCGCGGGGGGCGCAGAGGAAACCGAAGGGCAGACGACGACGACCTTGCTGCCGGGTGAAGGGCACGGGCTCCCACCACCCGGTAACTCCCAGAACAGAAAGGGAAACTGTCCAGAACCCAGAGCTCTTCAAAGGGAGCTGGGCGGCGGGGAGGGAATCCCGGGGACAGACGCAGGTGCCCACCGCGTACGTCACGGGCAATGTGAGCTCGGGGACTGGGGCAAGGACGCCGGTGCATCTGAGAGCTGCTGAGAGGAGCTTGGAGAGCCCCATCACGAGAAAAAGCGTTCCTCTCTGGTGACAGACGGGAGCTAGACTTGCGTGGAGGCCATGTCACAACATCACAGTCTCCAGCCTCGATGCTGCATGTGGGAAACTAAGCACCGCTGTCCGTCAGGCACACACAGACCTTCAGTATGAGGCCTGCGGCCCTCCACCCACCATCCCGTGTCCCCACGGCTGCCCCAGGAGGGGCTCATGCACGCCCCCCTGGACCTGCCACCACCCTCTGCCCACGTCTGGCAGGTCACAACGGCAGGCGCTCGGGTAAGTTCTAGCCGCATGCCTGTGGCACCGCACGCTGCCTACCACTCCTCCCTTGAAACCGTCCGCACACTGGCTCCTGAGACACCCCTGTCTTGCCTCCAAAGCGCCCCCCCCTCCCCCGCCACACACGCCCCTCCCCGGCCTCT